CATTTACCTAGTCATCTAGTGCTTTGTCCAAGGATTTGAAACTCATCGTCTTCCCAATCCTTTAAATACATTAAGCTATATAGCATATCTTCTTTAAGTCTTGATCTGTACTTAAAATCCTACCCTATATAATAAAAGCATACTCCAATGCTTTCATATTTATTGAATGTTTTAGTAGATCATGTGGTATAAGGGGAACAAATGGATATTGATGCTCGTTAATTTTTTCAAAAATATAGTAAGTATAACTTTTTTACATCTACCAACTCTAAAATCATAAACAAAATAACTAGCTAATTCTAATAGCATTCCACCTATACCACTATTCGATGTACATTGGTTGAGAAAAGAAGTACCAGCATATGTATTAACTCTATTAATGCTAACCATTGTTAATAATTCTAACTCGGTATAAGCAGCGGAGGACCCAATACCTGGCCATGGGGCTCAACCGCGCGTGCTGGGCTCCGTCGGAACAGTTTGTGAAAGAGGGACTGGCATCGATGAGGGTTTTGCAGCTTTGGATCACCTAGTGTAGTGGCTAGTTCGTCATCTTCATCATCCTTTTTTTTAATTGTAATTGGGCATTTTGTTGGGCGGCCCCCGTCTGCAATTTTTTGTTTTGTAGGCCATTTGTTTGGCGGCCCAATCCTTAATTATATATAGGTCAAATTCCCCTAATTCCAAATCCATCCACAATTTCCTCTTTGCTTTGCTTGGCGACGTGCATGTGATCCCGATTTCCGACGGTTCCGGCCTTATTCTCCCGTCCGCCTCCCGGTGAATCGTCCACCACCACCAGTCCAGTCAGCCATGCTGATGCCAGAAGCTCTTGTGAATGGCTGCAGTCGTTAGCCAACCGACAACGTGAGTCTTGAGGTACTAGATTCTTTGTCCAACAACAAAATTAGCCATAAAGAAAGCAATCTTTATGCAATTTAAGTACAAAACAAATGTACTTTAATCATAAACTCATCTACTTAATTAAATTGCTCTTTGCATGAATTACCTCACTATAGAGAGCTCGTGAACCT